TAAACTCGGTATATGGATAGACTGAATAGCTTAAAATAAAGAACATAACAAAAATGTTGGTAAAGATGACCCAATGGGATCTGACCTAATATTTGTTTATTTCTTTCAATACAAGTGATATTAGAATTTAGAGGAAGGAGAAACGAACCTATAATCTTAGATGCAGGGGTCAATATTCTTAACCACTTTAATTACAAATTCCTTGTATATTTCTTTATATCTTAACCATGAGTCCATGCTGAAATTCATATGCTATACAAACTTTTAGAAGAGACATGCATTCCATGTGTGGGCTCAAAGTCTTGGATGGGCTCTATATATAAGTTATAACATGTTCATATCACATGACAGTGGGTGTGAAAGTATGTGATACGAGAAAATTAGGTAAATTTTCAGAGGGTTGACCCCCAAAAATTTGCATGCTCTAATGTGAACCTGTGATAACTTGAAAGAATGTGGGCAGGAGCTTAAGAGAGACATCCCCATGAGCTGGATTACGGCTTTTTCTAACATGCAACCCCATGACTTTAATTTATTCTCAAAGTAATATTGGCTCTCTAGAAGAAGAGCCAGCTGCCTTTTACCATTTGTTTAGTTGAGGCTGGCCTTGTTTTGTTTCATAACGGAATATATTATGTAATGTTATTGTGTTAAGATTAGTCGTCCATAATTTTTTTTTTAAAAATACTGTTCATCGGGGTGCAATCATGCAAACCTTGCATGCATTGGTGTTTGCTGTTTGAGGGAACATTCAGAGCATCATTGAGCATAAATTTTGGAGGGAAAGTTCTCTTTAGTTTTGCCTGGGATCTCGATTATTTCGATCATTGCTACATGATGATGGCTGAGTGAGTGCAAACCATGATTGCTATCATGATGACATTTTATGTTGGCTAGATCCTCCATCAAGTGCCATCTTTTGCCAACGTTGGGAAATCCGCACAACATGAGATCATAAAGCAAAATTGCATTTGTATAAGAAAGAGAATCCCAAAACAAAAATAAAAGTTGTGTCTCATGAAAATAGGACTTCATTTCTTGTTCTTATTTTGATTTTGATTTTAAATATGAAAACATGTTATTTTACTATATTATTCTTATTTAATGAAAAGTTTCAATACGTAATCATTAATCAAGGAAAATTTTTGGTATTTTGAATGTTTTACCATTCTTTGTCTTTTGGGATATATATAGATAGATTACACTGTTCATGTGATCACACGAGCATGGGTGACATTTCTCTTATACCTAACTATTAATAAAGCATAATGAATTATTTAACACTTTTTTTATATTGTTTTTACTCAAAATTTACTACTAAAAATCAATGTATTGCTCAAATACCTTTTGATTTCGTTGATATTTTATTAGCCAAGAAAAAAAGAAAGAAAGAATAACTGGCTCATATCGAACAACCCACCTCTGAAAGCGACAAAATCCTTGCCGTTAATTAAATTTTCCGAACCACCATCCAACCATGATCCATCAACTGCCCCCCGTACATGTGCGCGGTCGCGCCTCGCAATAAATACTCTGTCATTTTCACTTGCATTTAACTCAAAAAAATTAAAAATTAAAAATTAAAAAACCCACCTCTCGGTGTTGCTTCCACCACACTCTCTCTCCCACTCTCACCAAAACCTAACCCCCCAAATCTAACCGCAGCTGTAATTACATATTTAATTGTATTGTCTTTGTACAAATTTGTGGTAATTGATCGTCGGAATTGGTCTGGTTAGAAATGGAGTTGGAGCAGTCCGGGCCGTTCAACCCGGCGATGACCTTCGACGAGGTCTCCATGGAGCGTAGCAAGAGCTTCGTCAAGGCCTTACAGGTTTTTATTCTCACACTTGTAGATCCGAAATCATTTCATATTTGGTTGATTGGTTTGTTTGTGGTGCGCGGTGCATTTATGGATTGCTTGCTTAATTGAATTTCGCTACTCAGTGTTTTTGTTCTTAGTTGAGCTCTGCTAGGAACCTTCAATTTGTGGGGCTATTGGTGTCCTGCTTAATGAGAGTTTGAGATCCAAAAACTTCTTACTCTGTCTGCGTAATTTAAACAGGTTTAGCTTGAATCTATTGATGTTTTTGTGTTACCTAGAATAATTATTGGCAATGAATGAATGTTTAGTTGTCAATGCACTGTGCTTGTTAAGACAGTTGAGGTTCTTTATGGTATCTACTGTTCTATTGGCAATTATTTTTATTTTATAATTTTATATATTGGTAATGATTGAAATCATATGCATTAACTTGTCATTAGGTTTTGGTATGTTAGAAATTGAATGAAGATTGCTGAATGACTGAAATCATAATGTTTCTTTCTTAAAATATATCGTGTATTTTCTTGAATTTTCTGAATTGCCACTACATAGCTGTATTGAGTTATTTGGTGCAATAGGTGTAGCTTGAAGCCTTTTTTTGTTCCTAGTGTCTCTCTTAATAACATCCATTGAATTGTTGTGGTTATGCTGTTTGAAGAGGAAAATGTTTCATTTTTATAAAGGTTGGATCCTCAATGCTATGTTTTTTTGGGTATATATCTTCATATGATTTTTATTTCAGGAACTCAAGAACTTAAGGCCTCAGCTTTATTCTGCTGCAGAATATTGTGAAAAGTCTTATCTTCATAGTGAGCAGAAGCAAATGTAAGGATCTCTGTTTTCACAAGATATGGTTCTATTTTTATGCATATAAAGAGATTTAATTTCATTGATCAAGTTGTGAGAAGAAACATGATGCTCTAACATGTCCCACGTATCTGGATGCTTTAACCATGGCTTGTCCGATTCAGTTATACCATGATGTTCTATGTTCCTTCCCTTGCTGAAATTGATTTTAAAATTATGTATTAGGGTACTGGATAACCTGAAAGATTATGCTGTGCGGGCCCTTGTTAACGCTGTCGATCACCTTGGCACTGTGGCTTACAAATTAACTGACCTTCTTGACCAGCAAACCTTAGATGTCTCAACCATGGATCTGAAAGTTACTTGCCTAAATCAGGTGAGTTTTCACATTTATCTAATGTTAGAATAGAAAGGGTATCAAATAGATAGAGCTTAGCTTAACAAACTTTATTTCTTAATCTAGAAACTTCTTACATGCAAAACATACATGGATAAAGAAGGGTCGAGGCAACAGCAGCTGTTGTCATTTATTCCGAGACACCACAAGCACTACGTTTTACCAAGTAAGACCAAATATTATCAACTTATTATTGGACTTGCCATTTTTGAGATGAGTTTTTTACATTTATTTCCTTGTCTGTCCGTGATAGATTCTGTCAATAAGAAGGTACATTTTAGTCCACATGTACAGACTGATACTAGACAGCATCCTTATCAAGCAAGAGCGCATGTTCAATCTTCAAGTATGTCACTTTCTGTTGGATGTTTGCTTTCTAAGTCCAGTTTTAGCCGGGCCAGCTTAACATTGGATTTTACATTTTCTTCTTGTGCACAAATAATGAGTCTGGTGTTTCCACAATGTGTAACATTTAGGTGCTGCTGCATCAAAAACTCTTTCCTGGCATTTAGCTTCAGAAACGAAGTCAACCTTGAAGGGGACTCCACAGGCTATGACTAGGTAATTCCTCATTGAAATAAGAAGCTTGCATTTGGTTTCAGTGGGACTAGTAATAATTTGTTTTCTCTTGATGTATCTCTTGCTCCTGATATTTCTAAGAAAGTGCAAATGTTGTTGCATTTCCCTTGTGCAGTGCTGGAGACACAAAAATTTCTGTAAACACTTCTGGAGTTTTCCATCTTTTAGGTATGTAGAATTGGAAAGTTATGCCATCAGATCACCTTGTCATGTTTCAATGAGCTGTAAATAGATAGTTTTACTAGAGAAAGGATACCTTATACTTCAGCTAATATGAATGTAGAAAATGAAGGGAGTAATCCTACAAAATCCTCGGCAACTCACCTTCAGCTACCAAGTGGAGTTCCTGCTTCTGGTGGGGCCATGCAAACATTGGGTGCTGGACACAGGGTACACTACGCTATCCTCCAAGTTCTCATCCCAGTATTAAAAGATAAGGAAAATTTGAAAGCTGATGTGAAGTTCTTTTTCCTTGCAGGAAGCGGTGGATGGTCAGAGACCAATGACGGCATTCAGGTCATTTGATAACCCAAACCGGCGTGAGATTGTGCGTGTCCCTGTTCGCAGCAAAAGTGTGCTATCAGCTTTCTTTGCCAAACAGAAAACCATGAAGCTGAAGACTGGGCCTTTCTCGTGAGACCTCATTAAAACAAGTTAAAGATGCCACTACCTGAACATCTCACGTCATGTGGGTCAATTTGCCTGTAAATACCTTCCTTTGCATTTTGATTTCGAGCTTTTCCCTTAGCCATTAGTTTTTCAATTGCTTGAAATCAAAATTCTTTTTCCCACTCGAAGCCTCTCACTTTGGCTGCTTAATAATGATCAAATTGTGTCGAAAGTCCTGTAATGAAATAGTCTGGGAATTTCTATTTGTAGAATGTTGCACCTGATGAATGATCATTGGTTACATTAGTTTCTAGTACATTACCGAATTTCCATGTTGATCGTCTTCATCCATCCGTTACCAGTTTTCGGCCACACCTATGTGTAAAAATGTGTTGCAGTATTGTTCACTTCTCTTATTCGAATTTTGTAAAGATGTGTAAATGATTATTGACAGTGTCACCTTGTGGTTGTGTTTCTTTTACTTACTCCCCAAAGCACTCGAAAACTATATGGCTGTAAATTTTATTTGCTTTTGGTGATGATGAAAATTTATCACCAAAATTCAAATGACATGTTCCTCGTTAATTTAAATACGTGTAATTAGATGCGAGAAAAAAAAAAGTGGAGTGTAAACTGGTTTAGTAGTTCTGCTGTTGCTTCGCATTTATCGACATGACGTATGAGCTTCTTCCTCCTCCCCTACCTGGCTAACTTGGTGACGTTAACATAAGACGACTTGTCGTTTGATGAAAAAACACCGACAGATCCAGAGTGTTAAAACTTGTGAATCCGAAACGACTTCAAAAAGCAAAATCCTTCCTCCAGTCTTAGCCTGTGAACCGTGATCTGCTAAGCCCAACACTGACTGAGAAACACTCTCAGCACCCTTGTTAATTTTTACCTCCTGACATCTTCAGTTTTTCATCAATAATCTCATATTACGAGTTACCTTCCTGTTCAAACTCACACCCAAAGATACTATTTTCGATTCTAAAGTGCATAATCCATTGAAAGTTTGCATCTTTATATATAAAACAGAGCTTCTGCATGAATGATCCCATTTTGATATTGTTTCCCTCTGAATTTCAACAATTTCCAAGAAACCCATCAGAGATTTTTAGCCATATGATAGATTGAACCATTTGATCTCAAACTTATACTGCTCTTCTTTGTTTCAATTTTGCTCCTTTAATCTCTGAAACAATGTCGTCGTTCTTGTACCAAAGACCAATTCACAACCCACTTTCAGATCCATACCCAATATCCCCGCGCTCTTCGTCAAATTCTCAAAAATCGTATTCGATCTTCAGCCCCACAGCGCTTCTAGTCCTTCTCTCACTCATGGTGGTCATGGGGGTCTTCTTTCCCTGGGTGGGCATGCGAGAGAGCCTATTCTCAGTCACCAAGCCCTCAATCTCAAAGTGGCGGGACTACACATTGGCTCAAGCTGTTTCATTCGTGGCCCAAAATGGGACTGTGATTGTTTGTGCTGTGAGCCAGCCTTACTTGCCTTTTTTGAACAATTGGTTGATAAGCATTACCAGGCAAAAGCACCAGGACAAGGTGCTTGTGATTGCTGAAGATTATGCTACGCTTTATAAGGTGAATGAGCGGTGGCCGGGCCACGCAGTGCTTGTCCCGCCTGCACTTGATTCTCAAACTGCCCATAAGTTTGGTTCTCAGGTATAATTGCTGATTCTAACTTCTGGGTTTGGCTTAATTTGTAGTTGTATTTTGAAGTTTGAGATTATTATGGTGTTGTTAAAGTTGGTTCATTGAATTACTTGACAAGTAGACTTTGTATTTTCCACTTGTAAAATGGTTGATTGATTTTAAGCACAACAGCAATCGTACTTGTGGAAGACCTCATACAAGTAACAATAATGCACTAATGCCATTTCCTGCATATAAGGTGTGAAACGCCAATGAATTCTTCCTGTCACAGCATTGGCACATGGAGGAAGGAATTTGATGTTCAAATTTCAATTATCTTCTTTTTGCTTCCCACACTTACCTAACAACTTCTGAAAAATAATTTTATTCTCAGGTTTTGCCTCCAGCATTTTGTTCCCCCCCTTCTATTTTTTATTTTTATTTTTAATTCCAGTGCTTCTCTTGGCGTTTATCTTTGTCTCCTGTAGACCCGTATATGATTATTGGAACTGTTAGACCTTATGAATTGTTGATTTTTGCCTTTCAAAAGTGATCTTGATTGGTTTCCTAGTGTAGGGATTCTTCAACTTTACTTCCCGAAGGCCACGCCACCTGTTGCATATTTTGGAGCTTGGATACAATGTTATGTACAATGATGTTGATATGGTCTGGTTGGCTGATCCTTTTCCCTATTTGGAAGGGAAACATGATGTGTACTTCACGGATGATATGACTGCAGTAAGTACACTTGTATTGGTTTTAGCTGTGGACATGTGTTAAATTTTAAACAGATGGTAAGCATGTGTTGTCTAAAATTTCATGTTCATCAGTCATCAGATATGTTCAGCAATCTTGATTGTTTGTGCATTCTTTGATGGATGTAATGTTTTAGGTATTGAGTGGATAGCTGGATATGTGGTGATATCTGTTACTGTAGAGATACTTGCACTTTTGTTATATTTTGTAAGTAATATCTTCTATTTTGGTGACCAGGTCAAACCTCTGAACCACTCTCATGATCTGCCGCCTCCAGGGAAGAAAGGGCGCACTTATATATGCAGCTGTATGATTTTTCTACGTCCAACCAGTGGAGCAAAATTAGTTATGAAGAAGTGGATTGAGGAAATGAAAGATCAACCGTGGTCCAGAGCAAAGAAGGCCAATGATCAGCCTGCTTTTAACTGGGCACTAGACAAACTTGCTAACAAGGTATGTTCACTTTAAAAGTTTTTCTTGATAGTCCCCAACAACTGGTACAATAATTTTAGGCCCCATATGTGTGACAAACAGTTTATTATTTCATATTTTCACAAATTCTTTAGATCCTTTGAGTGATTATGTTTATAATTTTCTGCAGGTGGATCTCTACCTACTGCCGCAGGCAGCATTCCCAACTGGAGGGTTATACTTCAAGAACAAGACGTGGGTGCAGGAAACTAAAGGGATGCATGTTATAATCCACAACAATTATATCTTGGGTTTTGAGAAGAAGATAAAGCGCTTCCATGATTATGGTCTCTGGTTGGTTGATGATCATGCCCTCGAGTCCCCTCTTGGGAGAATATGAGATTGAAAGATGTCATGGATATTTGTTAACATAGAAGCTCAGTTCTATCGAAGCCTGCAGGAAATGCTTCCTACCAATTCGTCTGGCCTTCCTGCATGATGGTTTTTGTAACAGACTGTGAAAGGGAATCTGGTGTTGTCGGCCAACTGTTGTTCTGTACTGATGGTTTGTTCAAAGCAATGAATATGGATCAAGAATGAGGCAGGATGTTTCATTCACTTGTTGATGTTTGGCAGGGGACTTCAGATAGCCTATACAACGAGGTCTACTGGTTATACAACATAAACTGATGCCTTATGCCCCTTTGCGCATATTTTTGACTAAGTTTTTTTTTGTTGAAATTCATTTTTTGTTCACAACCCTTTTCTGTGGTGTAACTTCCCATTAGTTTAATATTTTTCAAATATTCCAGATATTTATTACATTTTTTAAAGGGCTATATATAAAAGTATCGTGAATAAACATAAAGATGAGAATTTATTCATCTGGGATGTTATTATTGCTATGAATTTTTGGATACTGATATAAACTAAACACATTCGTACTGGTATAAATTCTCTAAGCCGCACAGCAGATAGCCAAAGAGAATAAGGAACAAAGAGGAAGCAGCAAAGAGAGGGACATCTTTTGATTCCTTTCCGAACGAAGGAAATTGAGGAGATGCGTTTTGTTTTGCTGATAGTCAAAGCTGAGTCAAATTAGTCAATTAAGCATTGAACTAGAGACGTGACAAAGGAGATGCACTCCTTCGGCACTTTATAAACACTTGAATAATTTATAGATTATAAGTTCATAACCCTAGCCATTAATGCACTCGTTTGGAGACTAAAAAAACTGAATATTATAGAATCTATTTCACGTGAAACAATAGGATTAGGATTCATAAATGTAGTTATGAAACTTCCTAAGAAATCAAAGTAGATCACTTGTATGTTCAGTCCACCTCCCATTCAATTGGTAAATCAATTTTAAAGAGAAACTAAACAAACTGTCCATCAAAATCTGCCAAAGTACAAAAAGCTTTAATCAAATAAATAAATGCGCAAAAGCTTTAAGCTACCCTTTAAGTATTAGGAAAGTAAGCTCTGATGATCTTAATTTCAGCCACTAGTATAAACTATTAGTTTATGAAACACAATTATTGAGAAAATCCAAGCCAAAAACAATAATTGAAATTGTGTGAAGTGGTAACGTAGGATGCTCAAAAAATAAACTAGATTTCCAAAGGGGAAAGTTCCCAATTGCCACTCTCATGGACGATGCATTCATGCAAGACAGCTTTTTACAGTCTGCTCTGTATTTTATGTGCTCATATAGCAGCTTATTTAAATATATAATGTTATTTGGATTTTTTAAATTTGAATTAAAAAATAATAATGGTAATTCAGAATAAGCATGACACGAGATATTTCTTATAATTATGATGTTCAGGTGTACATATATTATCAACTAAAACAGACGCAATTGAATACTTTCGGTCAATTCAACTGAAAACTTAATGATCCAGGTGAAGATATTTTCTCCGGAAAAGAAAATATACAATAACCTTTGGTGCAATTATGCAGGCCACACCAAAATGGTCCAATAATAAATTGGAACCATTATAAAGTGAAAAAGAAAAAGTTCTGAGGACATCTTTTTATTTATTTATATATAATAATTTTTTTTGTTGAGAAATTCTTAGGACATAGACTTAGGGGGTGAAGTATTTTGTAATTTTGGACATATGAAAAAAGGAACGTACAGACAGACAATTACCCTAATGAGTTTGGATTTTGGTTGGCCCGAGTTTATAGCTCACAGGCAAAGCAAGCAATCATCTTGTCGTGTCCTGTTATTATCCCTTTCTTAGATCACAAAAAATCCAATTGTTTCCTCTCAAAATATTTCGTTAAACCTTAAAAAATCGCTTTCAAAGTCCACGTCAATATCAAACACCAACTTCTCACCTTCACTGCTGCAGCCCAATCAATCTCTGACCTCTCTTTTACTAACTTCACAAACATCCTTTGCAAAACGCTATCTCAAAAACCCACACCCTTTAAGAAGTGTGTCTGTAAGACTGTAACTTTGCGGGTTTTTGATCTTTGATCTGATTCTTTTAGAAATAAGCTTTGATTTTGATGTGATCCTGTGAAGTTTGAAACTTTTTCATTGTAAATTGATGGGAAGCTAGCTAAAATGGGTTCTTTGGAAAGTGGGGTTCCATTGAAGAGAGACCCTCTTCTTCGGTCTTCATCAACTGGTAGAACTGAAAGGCACCCATTTTTACAGAGACCCAGATCGAAGTTTTCAAGGTTTCTGCTCCTCAAGAAGCTAGATTACCTCCAATGGATTTGCACTGTGGCTGTGTTTCTATTCTTTGTGGTTCTTTTCCAAATGTTCTTGCCTGGTTCGGTGGTTGAAAAGTCAGGGGTTTTAATGAAAAATGTGGAATTGAATTCTGAAGATTTGAGGTTTTTGAAGGAGTTGGGTTTGCTGGATTTTGGGGAGGACATAAGATTTGAGCCTTCAAAGCTTTTGGAGAAATTTCAGAAGGAAGCTAGAGAGGCTAGTTTGACTTCTGCTATGAATAGGACACGGCAGCATTTTGGGTACAGAAAACCTCAGCTTGCACTGGTGAGTTTTCAATTTTTGCCGAACTTTTTCCCTCGTTTATTGCTGTTCAGATATTGCGTTTTGGTTTGGCTACTTGCACTTGTAATGCATTACATATGAAGCTTTGTTGACTTATTGGTTTCTATATGACCGAGTGCTTACTCTGTATCTTCACTGATTTGTTTTTCTGTGTTGCCCTTCTGCTTTCGTTCTTTTACTTGGAAGGTTTTTGCAGATCTGTCGGTTGCTTCACAACAGTTACTGATGGTGACTGTTGCAGCTGCTTTGCAGGAGATTGGATATGCATTTTCGGTAAATTGACTTCCATACTTTTGAAAAATGTAACTTCAAATTTAGCGATAGCTTCATACAGTTATATGTTTTCATATGCTAATGGTTACAGTACTGCTATTATTCCTTCCTTTATTAGTTTGTCACCAGGGACATGCAGGTCTTATGGATTACAAGTAGTCTTTTTAGCTATAAGTATTTACATTCAATTCTGTGTTAAGGATAGATTTGCTGGCAGGATCTTTTTATGCATCATTGCACGAGATATATATGATGGTGTTTTGTGTCATGTGGTTTATAATTGCAGGTTTATTCACTTGAAGATGGTCCTGTGCATGATGTTTGGAGAAGTTTAGGAGTTCCAGTCACCATTATCCATGACCAGTCAGAGCTCAATATAGACTGGCTAAAGTATGCCTTTCGTGCTAATTTTGTTTTCAATGCAACAATATTGAATGTCCTCTTGTTTCTGCTCGCACAAATGTTTTGTTTGGTTGACCTCATTTGGAGAATCAATGAAATAATGCTACAATTGAGCTTCATTTCTTTTCATGAGCCCTTTTTCATCTTCTAAATATTATCAAGTTTAGTTGTTTGTATGCAGGATCCTTAATGCTATTTACTTTTGAAGTTTAGCTTTAGTATTTCATTTGCTGTATTGGGACCAAATCCACTCACACCATGATTCAAATGTTTCGAATGAATTACCAATTTGCCATGGTTATTTGAATTGTTGAGAGAAATGTAATATCACTTTAATTTCCTGGGAAATTATGCGACTGGTTGTGACAATGGATGTTATAGGGATTGGGGTTTTTATTTTCTTTCACTTGTTGCTCAATAAGTCAATATTAATTCGCATGGTTCAGTATTTTGGATCCATTAAATGGCGGTTGAATCTGAACTACATATATGTATTTTGCAGTTATGATGGCATACTTGTGAACTCTCTTGAAGCAAAGGGCATCTTTTCTTGGTACGATATATCATTTAGTTACATAAAAAATTATGATACTTCCTAATTATTGCTGTCACTTGAACTTGTTGCTTTACTTTCCTCTACTCTCTCTCTCTCTCTCTCTCCATATATATATATATGTCTGAATTTTGAAGATACGCTTTAGTGCAAGAACATAAGAGACGTATTTAGTGGCATGAGGATCTCCTCTAAACTGCACTAGTGAGGCCGCCATAGAAAGGTCTTTCTTAATAGCTATATACTCAAAAAAGGATCTCAAAATGCTCTAGGTTTAGGCCCATGGGTGTGAAACCTCCCAGGTTCAGGAAAATTATATTTGGCCTTTGTTAGGAGTGCAATTGCATGTTGAGATTGCAAGAGAAGGTTGTAGAGATACATTACTCCTTGATATCAGAAAAACTTTTGGAAAATGTGTACGATTGAGAGATTTCACAGGGCAAGAATATAATTTATAAAGAAGCTGTTAGATTTCTTCTCGTGATACTGTTGTGGTTTTCTATGAACATCCTGTGATCATCAACAATATTGTGCAAACTTCTGTATCTGTATATTTGCATTATGAAAACTCTTTATTCCTTTTGTCAGTGGATGGGATTGCCTAACTATGCAACAGCTGTTCATTTCTATCTTCTTCTTTTTTCTTTTATAGGTAAATTTCTGTTATGATTTGTTGAATTTTCTTAATATAAAAAAGCTGCAATACACTTTCTGTGGTCTGCAGTTTGCTTTTCATGTATATTTCTCAAATTTAGTTGATGCTTTGGTGTTTTTCCCATCAGCAACTTCTCTATCAGCCAAAGTGAATGATTTTACTTGTTACAGTTTTGTGCAGGAACCTTTCAAGTCTTTACCTATACTATGGACCATCCATGAACAAGCGCTTGCTACTCGATCAAGAAAATACTCTTCAAATAGGCAGATTGAACTCTTTAATGATTGGAAAAGACTCTTCAGCCGATCTACTGTTGTTGTCTTCCCAAATTATTTCCTGCCGGTAAGATTCAGACAAAGTTTGATTTTGTAGCACTTTGAACATGTTTATCATTCTATCAGGAGTTAAAAGGGTGATTTACGATGCTTATGCTAATCCATGGTTCATCTGGACATCTGAGTGGCCATTTTTGGCCCTTATTTAGAGCATTTGGGCTCAGTCCCCTGGGACACCTGAATGTTGAGTGGTGATCATCATCCAATAAAACCAACAATACCTATAGAAAAATCATATTTTTAATGGTGTTAGACAATTGTGTTTCTGACTTAGTAGTCATACTATCATTGGTGTTAAATTGTACTAACTAGAAGTTTGAATGGTTTCTTTACTTGCACAGATGGCTTACTCAGTATTTGATGCTGGAAACTTTTTTGTTATTCCGGGTTCTCCTGCTGAAGCCTGCAAGGCAGATTCCATTATGGTGTTAGACAAAAATCATCTGCTTGCTAAGATGGGTTATGGGTCTGAAGATGTTGTAATTACAATTGTGGGAAGCCAATTTTTGTACAGGGGCTTGTGGTTGGAGCATTCCATTGTTCTACGGGCTGTATTACCGCTTCTTGAGGACTTCCCGTTGGATAATAATTCCTATTCTCATCTCAAAATTATTGTTTTGAGTGGAGACTCAACAAGTAACTATAGTTCCGTTGTTGAGGTGTGTATCTGCAGACTGGTTCAATTTGTTTGGGGAAGATTTATGCATTTATTTATTTTTTTGATAGGAAGTTTGAGGATACATGATTTTATGGTTCTTATTGGTTGATCTATTCTTAGGCCATTGCTTACAACTTGAAGTACCCAAGTGGCATTGTGAAGCATGTAGCTGTTGATATGGCTGCAGACAGCGTCCTAAGCATATCTGATGTTGTGATATATGGATCCTTCCTTGAAGAGCAATCATTTCCAGACATTTTAATCAAGGCCATGTGCCTTGGGAAACCAATTGTTGCCCCAGATCTCTCCATGATCAGGAAATATGTATGGTTTTTTATGTTGCTTACTTGACCACACTCCTGTATGTCTGATAAAAGTCATAATCCTTGAGTTCTAAGTTTAAAGTTTTTATATCAACGAAAATTTTATGACTAAGCATTCATATCCTTGAGTTCTAAGTTTAACTGAAAGTCATAATAAGCAACAAGTGCTTGGGATGGTCAGCAACAATCCTTTTTCACTGTTGATCTTTGTGCTCCTCATAAATTCCTCTATATATCTTTTTCCACATAACTATTTCAACCTCCTCATGATTTTTTCTTATTTCTTGGACACATTGATACAATTGCTCATGCCAGTATTAAAACCTCAGAAAATTTTGTCCCCTATCTGGCATACAAAACTAAAAAAGGGGCTAAGTTCCTGTTATGTGAAAGGATTGGTACAATTTGATTTCTCCTTTGAGTGAGCATTCTCCCCATCAATGGACTTTCAGACCCTTAAGAAAAGGTCCTGTTAGAATAGATGCTAATTTTAATGTCAAAATTCACTTTGTCATACATCTTGGTGTTAAGTGGCTAAGATTATCTGGAAACTGTTGATTTTGGGTCATAGAATCTAATGGATTGAAATGTGGGGTATGAAATATGTTGCTATGTAACAATGATTGCTTTCTATGCATCTCAAACACTAAGATTGTGAATCTACATGAATTCCTTTTTGTTTAGTTTTGGATTGTTAAATTGTTGTCTATCTTTGCTTCATTGGAGGACTACTAACTGTATTTGCAATAACAATTAGGTTGATGATAGAGTCAACGGCTACCTTTTCCCTAAGGAAAATATCAAGGTTCTTTCACAAATCATATTGCAAGTTATTTCGAAAGGAAAGTTATCACCTCTAGCTCGCAACATTGCCTCAATAGGGAGAGGTACTGCAAAAGGCATGATGGTGTCGGAAACTATTGAAGGATATGCTTCGCTTCTTGAAAATGTTCTCATTCTCCCATCGGAAGTTGCACTCCCCAGGGCTGTTGCAGAAATCCCTCCAAAATTGAAAGAACAATGGCAATGGCACTTATTTGAAGCAGTATCAAATTTAACATATCTTGATAGAAATTTGAGAAGTCACACATTTTTAGATGACTTCGAGGAGCAGTATAATCGCACTCAACAGCAGACATTTAATGCTATCACTGCAACCAATTATTCATTTCTATACAGTATATGGGAGGAAGAAAAATACAGTCAGATGGCGAATTCCAAAAAAAAAAGAGAGGAAGAAATGGTAAGGACTATAGTGTGCAGTAATTTATTTGTTTCTAGATATGGATTCAACTAGTTCGCCGCCACTTTTATTTGCTGTTGGTGCTATGTCTATTTATATATACACACACTTTAAAATCTTGTGCAGTTAAAGGATAGAAGTGATCAATCCCATGGAACATGGGAGGAAGTGTATCGAAATGCCAAAAGAGTTGATCGCTCCAAGAATGATTTGCATGAAAGGGATGAAAGGGAGCTTGAGAGGACAGGCCAACCATTGTGTATATATGAACCTTACTTTGGTGAGGGGACCTGGCCTTTTTTACACCTAAAATCTCTTTATCGGGGAATTGGGTTGGTGAGTTCTGTAATATCTCATATATTGTATTCATTTTATAGACTTATTTGAACATTATATGATATAAATGCACATACGTGCAATACAATTGTTTTGCCCAAAACATTGATGTTAATAAAGTGTATGCTGTGCAAACTATGTTGTCATTTTCTTGTTAGCTGAGGCTTTAAATCTCCTATTTGTCTCGTCATTGTTGTCAATATAGTAGAGACGCCTTTGAATTTCTCTCTGACTATTGCATAAAATAAATTCTTGTAGTCCACTAAGGGTCGAAGACCTGGGACCGATGATGTTGATGCACCTTCTCGTCTTCCACTTCTTAATAACCCTTATTATCGAGATCTACTTGGTGAATATGGAGCCTTCTTTGCTATTGCAAACCGGATTGATCGTATCCATAAAAATGCTTGGATAGGGTTTCAGTCATGGAGAATAACAGCAAGGAAGGTATTGAATCTCTCTGTCTCTCTGTCTCTCTGTCTTCTCTGTCTCTGTCTCTCTGTCTCCCTGAAGTTTATTAATTTTGCCTTACATTTGTACACATGATTTCAACAAACTTTTGAGCGCCTACCAGTGCTCATTCTGCATCTTTGTTTTGTCCTCTTGGGTCTTGTTGGAAGTTGGGATAGTGGGCATTATCAGTTTTATATTCATGGCATGTTGGAAGGCAGCTTTTGGTCTATTTCAGCTGGCCTGGGAACCAGTAAAACTCTAGGTTTCATAGTGCCGTCAGCATGGATCAAGTAATCATACCTAATAGAACGTGATTCCATTTTAGTTTTTTATAAATTTTTTCTGGGAACAATTAATAACAAGAAGTATCAATATGATATTAGTCTTAGCCATGTAGCGAGATTCAAAACTTTTTTTCATTCTATTTTTTTAAGCAATAATAGTCTTGCAACATTTGTAGAGTACATTAATAACAAGAAGCATTGACTTGATGGCATAAACTATACTAGCCAGTGCACGAACAGATGATTGCATATGTATTAATACAATTAATAACAAGAGGCATCATGTGTATGTAATCAGTCACATGTGTATGATGGCTAGGAAGCCTAGGATACTTCATGTCATCATGTCAATGCCTAATGTTGTTACTTGCACTCTACAAATGATGTATGACTACTGTTGCTTTTAAAATAAAATACCAAAGAAAAAAGTGACAACAACGAAATTGTATAATAAACCTTCTCAAAGTTTGGATAAAAGAGAACTTTGTACCAAGTGGACTGAATGGTTGTGTCTGGTATCTCCACTTTTGGGGGTATTCTTAGAGCTCAGTCTCCAAATTCGAAACAGAGTGGAAAAATGTTTAAACAAAGCAATGAGTTATTTTCCTCTTTCTGCATTTTCGTTTATGTAGGATCCTTTATATCTAATATGGGGGATGGTGATTGGAACAGGCATCTTTATCTGGAATAGCTGAAAATGCATTGTTAGATGCTATTCAAACACGAAGGCATGGGGATGCACTGTACTTTTGGGTGCGTATGGATGATGAAGCACGGAATGATCTGAGACAAGATTTTTGGTCATTCTGTGATGGTATAAATGCTGGAAACTGCAAGTAAGACTGGTGATCCTTTAGTTGATTCTTCTTATAAATTTTGCTCATAACTCTGTCTCTGTCTCTGTCTCTGTCTCTCTCTTAATGTCTGTTGAAGAATATTTCACTAATCTCTCCACATGGTAAATTGAAGGTTTGCTTTTTCGGAGGCTTTTAAAAGGATGTATGGCTTAAAGTACAATATAGAATCTTTACCGCCCATGCCTGTGGATGGGGACACGTGGTCTGTCATGCATAGCTGGGCTTTGCCAACGAAGTCCTTCCTAGAGTTTGTAATGTTTTCCAGGTAGGAGATTTTGCACTTGTGGGCATCTTTACAGAGATGCTCTTACTGATCTACTTAGAAAGTTAATTCTTTAACTGTTAATATGAACTGTTCGGTGTGCAGAATGTTTGTGGATGCTTTGGATGCACAAATGTATGATGAACACCATTCAAGTGGACGCTGTTATCTGAGTTTGTCAAAAGTAATTTGCTTCTACTTTTATGAGTTTTCTTCTACTGATAAATATTGCTTTACTTGTACATACTGAGTGTATTTGCAAATTGTAGGACAAACATTGCTACTCACGGCTTCTTGAGTTACTTGTAAATGTTTGGGCATACCACAGCGCGAGGAGGATGGTATATGTGCACCCTGAGACTGGTGTGATGCAGGAACAACATAGGTTCAAGAGTCGGAGAGGTCATATGTGGATCAAATGGTTCTCATACTCCACCCTAAAGAGCATGGATGAGGACTTGGCAGAGGAATCAGATTCAGAGCACCCCAGGAGGCGGTGGTTGTGGCCGTCAACAGGTGAGGTCTTCTGGCAAGGTGTATACGAAAAAGAGAGAAATTTACGGCATAAGCAGAAAGAGAAGAGGAAGCAGAAAAGTAAGGAAAAAATAGAACGGATAAGGAAGCGGACTCACCAGAAAGCAATTGGCAAGTATGTAAAGCCCCCACCAGAAGACACAGATAATTCAAACGCAACAATGGTTACAAGGATTTAATAATCAAATTGATTTCACGGACTAATTAGGATGTTTTGGAAGTAGAAGTTCATTAATTTGATTATTCTTTTTTTTCTTACCCTCTAATTTTTAATTCTTGTGAGGAAGGTGCACATAGTTGTAATCTGTATGTGAGGTCTTTTTGTATGTAAAAAAAATGCACCCCTCTGGTCGTTAGTGTCAATGAGTGGCGGTAAATGTATAATAGTTTTACTTGCTTTTCCTTCTAATCCTATTTTCCCTTTCTCATTACATTCTTAACAGGAAAAGAAAATACAATATCGTGAAGTTGAACATTTGATTACTTATGACGCAATCTTCAATGCCTCTGAATGTAACCTCAAATCCCTTTTCTTTTTACCTTCCCTTGGTCTTTCAGAGGTAATTTGTATGCCCGTGATTTAATTGTTGATTATGGTCTCTAAATATGGATACTGCGTGCCTCCATATTCCTCTAAATATGGATACTCCCCATTCTTGCAAATTATGGTTGGACACATGTTAAAAATAATTCATCAAAACACAAAAAAGAACTTCTACACATAATTCTTCAAAACACAAAAAAGAACTTCTACACACTCTCATACTTGGCTGGAATGTAAGTTCCTACGCACGTCAATAACGTGTGTGCGTATTTAACTTATAATAATCAAATATTGGGAGCTTATCTAGTTAGGATTTTTTTGTTAAGGATAGGTTGAAGATTTCTAATAGTTTTTTTTTCAGTCATCCATTAGATGTATTAGTGAGTTACACATTTTCTATACATGCATCCATTGGATGAGATTAAAAATATTCTTAACATAAAATCCTTAATGGAGCATTACACTTTAATCTCTATATATCAAAAATAAAATGCTTTATGTTGAATTGAATCATTGCCACCATTTGATTTCCATACACTTTTAGGCCCCGTTTGATTCTTGGGAAAGGAGGCTTGGGGATGGAAAATCAATTGCTTTCCCATGATTGGTAAGTCCAAGCATGAGAAATGGTTGCCTGACATATGGGAAAGTATGGGGGAAAGTGAAGCCCTCCTCTCAACTTGGGTTTTGTTTTCCCTCATCATGGGAAAGTTAAGGAAAATGAGTCAACATCAATGCGCATTTTTCATGACCATTTTGTCCCCATTAACAATTTAGAATTACAATATATCATTAAATGCATTTCTTATTTTATTTTATTTAATATGGGTATAATTGGAAAATTATACAAACTTTGTTTTCCATTCCTACTAAAAAAACCATGGGAAATGAAACAAAGTGAAATCTCAAGATTACTTTCCCGACATTACCAACTGTGGGAAAGGAATCTTCCATTTCCCATCCCTTGAGAAATGGCATGGGAAATAATTTTTCCTCAAATCCGTTCTGTGAACCAAACCGGGCCTTATTACCTCGAAGCTGTTTCTATGGAGAGAAAGTAGAGCACATTTTCAAATGTGACTCAGAAAGTGGTGGAAAATTTATAACGTGACAAATTGACCATGGGTCAACAACAATGGGGGCGTAAGGTTTAGGCGACACTGATAGTTAAATGAGACAAGTGCCTCGTCAGATTGACATGTACAGGCCAGATTAATGAATAATTTAACTTTTTAAAAGTGTCCAACCCCACGCAAATAATGTAATGATCGATTCATAAAGTGATCCATAATAACAACAGCTAAAGCTCTAAGCCATGATGAATTCTCTTTAATGTCTCAAAATTCCATGGATCCTGAGTTGGCGGACATCGATGTATGTTTTGTTCCTCGAAATGACAAAAATACAATTTGCAAGTCTTACCGTGTTGTGGCCGCATGAGACATTAATTAACATAATAATACTAAATAATAACATGTTGGAAAATCTAAATTAACGTAATCATATGAACATGATATATAGGTTTTTCTGGTTTGGTTCGGTTTTCTTCTTCTTTCCTGTTGGCAATGTAAATGGCTTGTATTATTTTGGCATCAAATATGTCTGGTCTGTTTATTCGTTTATCTCAACCAAATTGATTGTGACTTTCTTGTCAATGAAAAGTATAATTAAGAAGTGTGATCGCTGTTGGTCCATCTTTTCCTGTAACTATTCAAAATTTTAGAACTTTTTGTATGCACGTTTGGAAAGCTTTAAGAAATGAATGATTGATCGTATACATGATCGGAATCATTCATTTTAGAACTTTTTGTATGCACGTCGGATCATTAAGATGCTTAACCGAATATATAATATTCACATTTCAAAAATCTCCTTTATTAGAAAATTAGATACACATCTCCGCCACAATCTATGTACCAGATTGTACGTGAATCTAGCGTTAATAACTTAAGGGTAATGCTAGGCTTACCACATTTTTCATACCACATTCATACCACCTCTCTAATAGAGGTGGGCCCTATTGTATTGGTGGGCTCCACCTCTATTAGAGAGGTGGTATGAATGTGGTATGAAAAATATGGTAAGCCTAGCATTTTCCATAACTTAATTCATGTAGCGAGGCTCTTTCCCCAAACCACAAGCATTTTTATAAGCCTATTTGGGTTATGTCTTGGTTTTTTCCCAAAAGTATGAAATTTAAAAACTTCGAATTTGGTCCGTCACAGTCGACATCAACCTGCAGTACAATATCTTTTGTTGATTGAATAGTGGGCTGCCATGTGCTGTGGGCCAGTGAAGATTTGAGGTAAATAAAAATAAGGGATATGATTTCCCCACTCCCATTTTCTCCACTTCCACTCCCTTTTGCTTTTTAATACTTTTTAATCAATTTTGTTCCTTCTCTTTCCTATTCTACCTTACCCTACATTAATTTCTTTTTACTTCACTTTTATATTAGTTCTTTTTCTTTATACTTAATTTTCCAACTTGCACTCTATTTTTAGTTTTTTTTTCTTCCTTTAATCGAGTAAGAGATTAAGTTGTTTTTTTCCCTTTAATACTGAAAATGGAGTGTAAGTGCCCGTTTGGCATTGCTTATTTTGGGTGATAAGTGATTTTTAAAAAATTTTGGGAAACCTAGCCTGTTTGGTAAACTATGAGAAAATCACTTATTGTTAAAAATTGCTGTGAGAGAAAGTTATAAGTGAAAGCAGCTAATGAGGTGCTTTCATTTTCTGATTATGCAAGAATTAGTTTCGAAGATATACGCTGGGTTTAATGATTATGCAGGAATCATTTTTTTGATTACGCGAGAATCAATACCAACAATACTTTTAGCAAAAAGTTTACCAAACATCAAACTGCTTTCTCTCACAGCTGATTTCTCTCACAGCAAATCTGACAGCGATTATTTTCACAGCACAACAATGCCAAACTGACCATAAGTTAGAAAATTAAGTATAAAGAAAAATAAATAATATAAAAGTGAAGTAAAAAATAAATTAATGTAGATTAAGGATAGAATAGGAAAGAGAAAGAACAAAATTGTTTAAAAATTATTAAAAAGAAAAAGGGAGTGTAAGTGGAGAAAATGGGAGTGGGGAAATCAGCTCCCAAAAATAATAAGAAACGCTAAAAAATTCCTCATTCACCAGGTGTGGATCTATAAATATTAGAGACCTAGACATTGGCTTCTATGACAGCTAGTTTTATTACACCATGGCCGATCTTCACGATCAATGGCGCCAATCCATAATAATCTTACATGAACACAATACCTTTAAAGTCACGTTTAATATTCTCCTAATCAATCATGCCAAACAAGTTGCTTCCACTTCCACTCATGCCATTCTTGCTTTTATCTTTCCCATTCTCCTCACCTTTGTTCAAATCAAATTCCCAGGATCAGTAATGTCAGCTTCTCCATTTGAAACAAATCAAACCCTAACCCTAGTTTCCATAGTCAGCTTAAGTGCTTATTGCTTGGCTCTTGGGGCTAGGCTAAGATTCCCTACTTACGCTCCTACCTACTCTCGCTTCGCCATGAGGTGTTTTGGTCTGCTCTCAGTCTCCTCACTGCTCTCAGTTTTGCTTCCAGGCTCTTGGCACCCTGTCCCGTTCTTGATTTTCATCTTGTATTTCATGGGCGAGTACGCATGTTGTTTTGGTTTGCTGCGAATGCTATGTCAGGTGGCTTATCAACGAGTGGAGAATGGATTTCTTTGTGTCTTTGGGGCGCGTCAACGTCGGTCGACGCCCACGCTGTTGCCGTTAACATTCAGGGATTTGCGTCGCGTTCAAAACTAGCTTCGTTAGTTCATGGATATTATTTTTTATATGAAAGTCAGAAGGTAACCTTTTATAATTTAAAAAAAAGAGAGTCAAGGTAACCTTCCACACATCACAGTGCCTTGGTTGTTTCATAATCAATTTGGCTGTTTGTTCATGGCTAAATGTATGTTTAACTTGTTTAGTTTTTGTTTCCCTAGCTAGTGCTCCATCGTGTCTGGTGAAACTGATCCAGTTTTGGAATGAGACTGGAGTATTAAAATCGATTGAAACCCTGGATAATTAAATAGTGCTAGCATTGCTCAACACATAAATTAACTTAAGAGAAGAGACTTTTGCTTTCATTAACTTTTTACTCAATAATTATCGTTTATGAGATATGAGTGTCACTTAGGACCAAATAATCATTGATGATCAGTCAAACTCGAGTGAAAGGGGCGGACACATTTATTTCTTTTCTAGTACTCCCACCGATCACATTAGGAATGGCTAGTTCATTCATGGGTATGCTTTTGTGTTATTTTAAATTTATTTCTACATTTATCTTATATATAATTAACATGAATATAGCCTATAAACTAACAAGCATCAACACATCCTTTTTCACAAAATCCTCAGAATGGAGTAAGACAAATGAGTGCTCTATATAGAGATTCTTACAGAATATGTTTAAAAGTCCGACCACTATTTGAATAAAGTTACAACAACTTAAATTTTTTTTTAAAATGGTTTAGAAGTCCAACCACTATTTGAATAAAGTTACATGATGAGAAAACAAATGGTTTAGAGTTTATAAATAAACTAACCAGAATACCCCCATGATCAAGAAACCTTTGAGATTATAATTATGGGTAGTTTTATCCTAACAAACAAGTTTTTAACCTCTAAACTCTCGCATGTATTCCTAATTATACCTTTATTCACCTTCAATTCCGTCATGATAAAAGTTCATTGTCTATCAAATAAGGAAAAATCAAGTTAAGCTCATTGATGCTCTTCTTTAATTAACATCAGGGGCAGGGCAGCAGAAAAACTTTAATATTTGCGTATGATACAGAAATTCAAGTAGGCCTCTAAAGATGATCCAATTCTTTTGGGCAGCAACAGTTGTATGTCTCTACTTTTGCCATCTTCATCCAATTACGCTTTGTTAC